AGCCCAGCAAATAAAGCGGAGAGCTAATTGCAGATAGGGAGATATAGAGACAGATAATCGAGTCAAGTCGTAAGTAAAGTGCGTGAATCGTTGTGAATTATAGCGTGTTTTTAAGTTAAACTGACAGTGGAAATTAAGTGTATTGCAAAGTTGTATTGAGAAAGAATAAACTAGTTTTATTTAAGAAAGGACTTGTATCGCTGAAGTTCTTCGGAAAGAATTTCTACGGGAAATTAACAAACGACCAGAGACGTAACAATACTTTTCACAAATTAATTTATAATTATCTTAAATCATATTAGTCTGAGTCGTTAAGTGATTCGTGTGTTCAATTGATTTTACAATTGATGTGAGAGTAATTGTCTACGAAGTGTTACTGTACGATTGAATGTATTATTCTAACAAGACGTAGGTAAATTTTGCAGTTGTCTTAGATGTAAGTCTCAAAAGAACCTTGTTTAGTGATCAATGTCTTTCTCCAATACAGATCCTATGTGTGTCAGTACAGCAAACACTTTAACAATCCAGCTTGGACGGGAACCTGATCTAATACCTGATGATTCACTGACCTTTATGTCTGGTAACGGACTCTACAACCGAGACGTGCCTTCTGAACTAGGGTCAGAGGTCACCGGAACAGTCACAGTAGAAGAGGCTCTCAGTGCAGTAAGTAAATGTTGTTTATAACCTTAGCTTAATCTAGTCACTTGTTTCTAACCTTAGCCTAATGAAGCCAGTTGTTACTCATCATAGCCTAATCTAGCCAGTTGTTTCTAATCTTAGCCTGATCTAGCCAGTTGTTTCTAATCTTAGGCTAATCTAGCCAGTTGTTTCTAATCTTAGGCTAATCTAGCTAGTTGTTTTTTATCCTTAGCTTAATCTATCCAGTTGTTTCTAACCCTAGCCTAATCCAGCCAGTTGTTTTTTATTCTTAGCTTCATCTATCCAGATGTTTTTATCCTTAGCCTAATCTAGCTAGTTGTTTTTTATCCTTAGCTTAATCTAGTCAGTTGTTTTTCTCGTAGCTGTTGTTTGTTACAATAATAATTACTTATCTATAGCTACTTATATCCAATCAAGACTCTGTTGTTTGTTACGATAACAATTACTTATCTATAGCTACTTATATCCAATCATGACTCTGTTGTTTCTTACAATAATAATTTCTTGTCTATAGCTACTTATATCCAATCACGACTGTTTGTTACAATACTAATTACTTATCTATAGCTACTTATTTGCAATCACGACTGTTTGCTACAGTAATAATTATTTATCTATAGCTACTAATATCCAATCATGACTCTTTTTTTGTTACAATAATAACTGCTTATGCATAGCTGCTTACATCCAATAAAAACACTGTTGTTTGTTACAATAATAAGTACTTATCTAAAGCTACTTATATCCAATCATGACTCTTTTCTTTGTTACAATAATAATTACTTATCTACAGCTACTTATATCCAATCATGACTTTGTTGTTTGTTACAATATTAATTACTTATCTATTGCTATATATATCCAATCACGACTGTTTGTTACAATAACTATTACTTATCTATAGCTACTTATATCCAATCATGATTTTGTTGTTTGTTACAATATTAATTACTTATCTATCGCTATATATATCCAATCACGACTGTTTGTTACAATAATAATTTCTTATCTATAGCTACTTATATGCAATCACGACTGTTTGTTACAATAATAATTACTTATCTATAGCTACTTATACCCAATCATGACTGTTGTTTGTAACAATAATAATTATTTATCTATAGCTGCTTATATCCAATAAAAACACTGCTGTTTGTTACAATAATAATTCGTATTTATAGCTACTTATATCCAGTCATGACTCTTTTGTTTGTTACAATAATAATTACTTAGAGTTCAGACAATACAATCTTTTCACGTAGTGGTTCCAACACTGCACTATTTAACGTATTCGTTAAGATGTTTCAGTGATTTGTTTTTACATGAAAACAGCGGAAATTTCACAGATTTAAGACGTTAAATCGGGAGATCGATCTTCTGCGATGAATAGAGCGTATATAGCCCTTGCTGTGGATTTGCAAAGAAATAATGCTTTCGATATTCATATTATAGAGGGCGTGGACTTGTTTGTTTGTTGTTAAGCGCATAGTTATACAGCGGGCTATCTCTGCTCTATCCACCACCAGTATCGAAACCCTAGTTTTAACGGCGTGAGCCCTCAGACTTACCACCACTGGGCGGTAGATGGCCAGAGAAAATACAGTAGTTAATCATATATTTTTGTTTCTTGACAGCTATGTATTTAATAAAAACACAATGTGTTTTGGAACAGTACGTTTCACAGTTGTTTGAACAGTTGTTTGGCTCATCTCTTACGGTGCCGACTTTTCAAACTAGAAAGGTGATTAAATTTTGTACAATATACAGTTTACTCCATACTTCGACCTATTCGGTCCAAGAGAGGTTTGTGGAGGAACCATAAACATCACGGTGACTGACGTCACAGCTGACGCATGTCATGAAATGGATTACTTCAGGTCCATATTTCCCATGGACACATCAGGTAAAGCGATACTTGTGTTCCTTTTATGTAAAAGTTTAAAATATGTTGAGATTATTAACACGTTAGATACTTCAAATTAACTAGGCTTAGTAGCTCTGTGAGGCTGCCTTAGAACACAGTCTCATTTGTAAGGTGATTTATGTAAAGAATAGTTCATACATCAGTTTAGATTACTTACTTGTGAGTGTTGGATGTAGAAAATAATATATGTTTGTTTGTTTGTTTTAATGATCTGTATTTAACATTTTAAGTTTAAATATTCGTCCACTGAAAAATTTTGTATTCTTTGACTACATGGGAATCGATATATTTTGTTTATATTTTTCTTGATTTACTCTTTATATGAAAGATCCGACTATATACTATGGTCTTCACAATTTACAAAGAATAATCTCACAAGAGGGCGCTGCTGGGGATCCAAAACAGTTGTCTTTTTCAAGTAGTCAGGTAATTTGTTCTTTTAACGCTACTGTTTATCATTCAAACCCTATGTATCGATACTTACCATAATAAATAATCTTAACGTAAAATCAAATTAGAAATCATAAGCTAGTTATCATTTGCCAAAAATGTGGAAATAAAACTTGTTATGATATGACATTATAGATATAATCTTTACAGTACTTCTGAAAACCTGCTATTCTTTCTTATGTAAGTGTTTGTTCACTAAACAATATCTGGAGTTTACTGTTTCTGTATTTTTAATTTTATAGAATAAATATTTATTTATTTTTATATTACATTTTTTAAACACATTTTTTGTTAATGGATTTTTACCCTCATTAAATGTTGATTTTGTTCGATTTTTTTATATTTAGGTCTGAAAATTTTCCAGTCAGTTGTTAACTTAACTTTGCTTTTAAGAGTCAAACAAATAGCGTGTCGTTTGGAACTCTACAACAATGTTTACTTGTTTCTAAGACTTGTAATCTTTTGTAAAACATGATTGAATGCTATAATTTCTCTGAAATAGTGCAAAAAAGGAATAAAATTATTGTTTACATTTTATTCAATTAATTTTTGAGTTGTTATTTATTTTTACTCCTTCAGCTGAGAGAGAACATTAACTACGTGATAATAATCACAGCAACAAATCGTTTTGGTGGTGAATCTTACCTTCCATCCACTCACCGGGTCAAACGTGTAACGAAACCATTGGCTCTTACATTACAAGGCCCAAATGTCGTCGATGCTCAACATGACATCACATTCACTGTTTTTGTTGACATCTGTGGAGATTTGGACATGACGACATCAAATCTTCAAGTAAGTCACGTGTAAAGTATATACTGTCTTTGGAAATGTGTGTAACTAAAATTATGTTATTGCTTCAGAGATTATGACGTCATATTCACTGTTTTTGTTGACATTTGTGGAGAGTTGGACATGACGACATCAAATCTTCAAGTACGTCACATGTAAAGTATATAATGTTTTTGGAAATGTGTGTAACTAAGGTTATGTTATGGCTTCAGAGATTATGACGTCACATTCTAGATTAACTTCAGTGCAGTTGTGAGGTGGTGAAGTCTTTTCTTCCCTGCGAACTATTTAAGTTATTTTATTCAGACTGTGATGTAATTAAAGATAGCCACCAATCAAGTATTACTCTATTGCGTTTAAGTGTGACGCCATTATATTGTATTGCTTTAATAGTTGATTTCACCAAGTAACTAACACAACATGTATTGAAAACAAATAATCGGCAGACAAGTGTTCGTGTACTACATTCAAATGTGACGTCATTAATCTATAAAGTGTTGAAGTGTGTAATGTCTGTGGACCGATAAATGGACACTTTTGTATGTATAAAATAACATACTAAAATACTTGAGACCAATTCAGAAACTTAGGCATTGTTATGTGGTTTTACCTAGTTCGACTAATCATTGTTATGTGGTTTTATCTAGTTCGACTAATCATTGTTATGTGGTTTTACTTAGTTCGACTAACCACTATTGTGTGGTTTTACCTAGTTCGACTAATCATTGTTATGTGGTTTTATCTAGTTCGACTAATCATTGTTATGTGGTTTTATCTAGTTCGACTAACCATTGTTATGTGGTTTTACCTAGTTCTACTAACCATTGTTATGTGGTTTTACCTAGTTCGACTAATCATTGTTATGTGGTTTTATCTAGTTCGACTAATCATTGTTATGTGGTTTTACATTAGCTAGAATCTTATTAGAATCGTTCAAATACTACTTTGATACGTTTATCAGAAGGAAAGTTATGGACTCTCTTGTAAGTGTAGAAGTAAAGATGTGGGAGAAGGACTGTTATGGACTCTCTCGTAACTGTAGAAGTAAAGGTGTGGGAGAAGGACTGTTAAGGACTTGCCTGTAACTGTAAAAATAAGGTCGTGTCAGAAGGACAGTTAAGGACTCTCCTGTAACAGTATAAGTAAATATTTGGGAATAGGACTTTATAGACTTGCCTGTAACTGTAAAAATAAGGTCGTGTCAGAAGGACAGTTAAGGACTCTCCTGTAACTGTATTAGTAAAGGTTTAGAAATAGAACTTTATGGACTTGTCTGTAACTGTAGAGCTAAAGGTGTGAGAGAAGGACTGTTATGGACTTGCCTGTAACTGTAGAAGTTACATATAACAGAGTTATTACTAGAAGCTAATACTGAAAACAGTGTTACATACAACAGTTATTACTAGAAGCTAATTCTGAAGACTCTTAAATACGACAGAGTCATTACTAGAAGCTAATACTGAAAACAATGTTACATACAACAGAGTTATTACTAGAAGCTAATACAGAAGACTGTTACATACAACACAGTCAGTGTTGGCTCGTTTGTTGAATTATTGGTTTTAAATATAATTAAATGATATTTCGATAGATTTCTCCTTAGAAATAGTTTTTTAAATATTTGATAAAAAGTAGAATATGAAATTGTATCATAATGGAATATTATCTCTGAGATATTTATTCCATTAGTGGGATAGTGAAAATGTACTTTCTAGTTTTGAAGCGAAAAGTGACCGGTGAATAACGTATTTATTATTGTAGTTTTTTTTAAGTTGTCCAAAGTTTGTATCATTGTGCCATTCCACTTATAACTGAGACTTAATCATAGTTGATATTTCCGCTCCCATGTTGTAATTGGGATTACTTTATTCATTGTTGATCCTGTTCAGTCTGATGCCCATCATTATGTATTGTTGTTCAACACTTCAATTCCCATTCTATAAAGCTTCTGAAAAACTCGCCAAGGTCTCTTAACACAGAGAACGTTTAAGAACACGTTTAAGAAAACCAAAGACACAAAAATCTACTGGAACCTCATAGGAAGCTTCACAGGTATGAGGCCAGAGGGAGATATTGTGATTCCAGGTTTTTAGGCCTTTTTTTTTCAAAACAGACGTTGATTTACAGGTGTAGCTGGAGCTGTATGAGCCTTTGTCAACTTCAAATCCTCGTTTATTATATTTTTAACAAAATATATACTTAGCTTCTTAACAAAGATTGGAATGTTCTCTTCCATAACTATAGACTTAAATCTTCAGAAATATAAGGTGTGTGTTATGAGCTCATTGTTTCTCTAAATATTCTGCTGCGGTAGCTTTTCCGTTTTAATCTTGATAATTAAAGGTTCTTTTCTACAAAATGGTTTGTCGTTTGTCTCTACATCATTCAACATTCTCGCTATATGGATGTTCTTTATTGGAAAGGGCTGTGATGCATTTCTCGAACCACAATTCTAACCAGACGACATTTAAATGTCGAATAATAATATAGAACTTTATGTGAATGTTAGTTATCTAATTTGTCTGCTTGGTTTGTTAACAGAAGTTGTTCATTTATTGTTTTTCAGTTCACGTGGTCTCTTTTTCCTCCAATCATCGACTTAAGTAGATTTATTGGAACTACAGCGACAATCCCTAAAGGATATCTTCAGCTAGCCAACACTTATAACATATCAGTAGAAGGTATGTTAAAGATAAATTGATCAATAAATATACAGTTGGATAGAACGTTATGTAGACAAGTTGTACAAAAGAGGAAACAAATAGATAAATAAAGCATTGTTTCTTAGATAAAACATTGTTTCATTTTTTCAGTGTCTGTAACAAATGACCAGAGTCAATGGAGTGATGTAACCCAAGCCATTAGGGTTAAGAAAATGAATCTACAAGCCGTTATTAGTTCGTCAAACCTTGTTGTTGGAGACAAAACACCTTTCAAACTAGATGGTGCTCTATCTTCTGATCCAAGTAACGCTGCTGGTGAACTCCAGTTTTTATGGTCTTGCACTGACCGGATGACCTCCAGTTCTTCCTGCTTCGAAGATAATCTATTAATCAATGACCAGATCCTTACTTTACCAGCAGGAGTACTTTTACCAAACATGTAAGTTTTCGTTTACTTCTTCTTGATCCAGAATTATATATACATATACATATAGATATATAGATATCTATTACCACACTTTGAGGTATTGATTATTGTGATCTCAGTACTATATATTTTAAACTATTTCAAATAATTTTGCAAAGCATCATTTATCATATTTTCCAAAACTTTTCCCATAACTGATGTAAAGCTAATAGGCCTATAATTACTGAGATAATTTTTATCACCTCCCTTGAAAAGAGGAGTAACATTAGCCAACTTTCAATCCTCTGGTACCTGCTCACTAAACAAGGACTGACAAAAATAGTAGCAAGTGGCTCACATATCCAATCCTTAACCTCCTTTAAAACCCTTGGGAAAATATTATTTGGCTGAAAAGCCTTATCATTCTTTAAACTTCCCAATTTTTTCTTAGCAACAATTGTATTGGATAGCCAACACGGTTTCACTAAGAGGAAACCTTGCCTTACAAATCTTTTGACATTATTTGAAAAGGTCACTGCTTATGTAAGGGTGTAGATTTGGTGTATCTGAATTTTCAGAAAGCATTTGATAAGGTGCCAAATAAAACGCTTGTAAAAATTATCTCTATAGGTGAGAGGAATAGTTAGCTAATTGTATAGAAGATTGGCTGGGTAGAAGAAAGCATAGGGTTGTTACAAATGGAGTTCAATGAAACTGGACTAATGTTAGAAGTGGAGTAACTCAGGACCCAGTCTTAGGACCTTTGATCTTTTTGATTTACATCAATAAGATAGATGTAGCAATGATCAATAAGTTACTTAACAGATGGTTTTAATTAAAATAAATGCAAGATAACGCATGTGGGATATCATAATTTGAATTATAAGTATAATTTGGATGGGAATAGCCTTAACACTGTCATGGAAGAAAATTATCTGAGTGTAGTGGTTGATCAGTCTCTTAAACCATCCAATCAATGTGCTGTTGTTAGTTGTAGGGCAAATAGGACTTTAGGTTGTATCTACAGATATATTGAATACAAGTCTAAAAAGGTTATAATGTCATTGTATAGGTCATTGGTTAGGCCACCTTTGGAATATTGTGTTAAGTCTTGGGCTCCTTATCTTAGGAAGGACATTGAATTTTTGGAAAGGGTTCATAGACGGGCTATTAGAATGGTGCCTGGGATGGAGCGGTTAAGATCCCCGAAATTGTTTTCTTTTGAAAAAAGAACAGTTTGGGGGATCTGATTAGGGTGTTTAAGATTTTTAAAGGAATTGAGAGTGTTGATGGATCATCATTTTTTCATACTTAATGATGAGAATGGTAGGACTAGGGGACAAAAATATAATTTTTGGCATGGTAGGAGTCATCTTCAGCTAAGACAGTTTTATTTTTCTAACAGGATGATTGGCCTTTGGAATGGGTTGCCTTCTGATTTTGTAGAGGCAGTAAATTTAAGTGAGTTTAAGAGAAAGCTTGTTATTATACGAATGATAAAAACTGGTTTTGAGATTAATAATGGTTGGAGACAGTTTTTCGTCATTACTCATTCAAGCGGTCTCCAACCATTATTGGTTTTGAGATTGTTTTTTATTCAATAATTTTAGTTTAGTTTAGAAGATGAAACTGCCTAGATGTACCAATAGGTCCTTTGCTGTCCCTAAATATTATGTTATGTTAAATTACTTGTTCCATGGATAGCCTAAAATCATAACTCCGAGTTAATTCAGCTCTCATGAGCCCATTACAGTCTAAAAAGGAAGAAACGTAGCAGTATTTAGGGCAGAGTTCGAGCTAATCAAAGTGTCGTTGCACTTTCTTCGACGACTTGCTATAAGTACAAATGGTAATGTTACCTCGAGAACAGATGAGTACAAAGTGATCTCAATGAATATGTACCTGCTCAAAAAACTGTTAATGAGGAAAGATAGCGAAATCAAAAGGTGAAATTGCTATCGAAACTATGGACAGTATAATGATCAAAACTGGAAACTATTCAGCAACAATCAGTGAAAATTTGTTTGGCGACATTGAAGGCACCCTGACTGCTGGCATGTACAGGCACATTCTGATCCCTTGGGAGCACGATTCGGCAAACAGGGATCCATCCTAATGCAGTTGCTATCACCTTTGTAATGAGATGTTTCTTAATAGGGCCTGGCATGATCTGGTAGTTAGGGCGCTTGATTTACAATTCTAGTGGGGCCTGGCATGGTCTGATGGCTAGGGCTCTCGATTTGCAATCTTAGTGGTGCATGACATGGCCTGGTAATTAGGGCACTCGACTTGCAATCCTAATGGGGCCTGGCATGGCCTGGTAGTTATGGCGCTCGACTTGCAATCCTAAGGTTGCAAGTTCGAATTCTGTTCCCCAAAACACCCACCCTTTCAGTCGTGGGGGCATTATAACGTGACGGTCAATCCCACTTTTCGTTGGTAAAGAGTAGACCAAGAATTGGCGGTGGGTGTTGTTGGCTAGGTGCCTTCCTTCTAGTGTATTTCTTGAACATTCGTGACGGCTAGTGCAGATAGCCCTCGAGTAGCTTTGGGCTAAATTAAAAACAAGCAATGAAACAAACATTTCTTAATTTATCTTATACATCCTTTAAAACATTATAATAATATACCAAACTAGAGATAATTTATAAATGTCTAAGTTTGTGCATTGATAATTGTTTTTGTCTGGATAGGTACCTCATTACACTGAAAGTTTTCAAGGGTATTCGAAGTTCTGAAAGCCACACTTTGGTCACCATACGCCAGGGAGAGTTGCCTGTTGTCTACGTCATCAAACGTAAGACAGGTCGAATTAACCCTGACGAGAGACTTATTGTTGAAGGCTACGTCAGCAGTCGAGCCAACGTAACACTTCGTTGGGAGGTAGTGACTGAGAAAGGTGAGCCGTTTAGTAAGAAGTTCACGTTATATCACGTAAGAAGATCATTGGGTCTCCCCAAGTATTTTGCCCACGACATTTTATTTATTTAATCTTTTCCCACGCAGCCGAAAGGAAAGAAAACTACGATTTCTTGACAAATTTTAGACGTTAATACTTATGAAGTTGTTTAATGGTTATTATTTGAAACATTTTTAATAAATTAAAATAATAAGCAACAATAATTGTGCAAAGATAATTATTTACAAACTCATTTTCAACAAATGGGGAGGGAGGGACTCACCTAAACGTATATTTTTAGTAAGACCCATTTCCTTGAACAGTTTTTAAGGTATTGTGTAATTCTAAATAGTGTCCAAAGTGATTCTTATAAGAAACATTCTTATTGCTTATGTGATTTATGGTTTTGTAAACAATTTAATTTGTGTTTCCTATGTACGATTCGGTATTTGTTATTATGTGAAAATGTTGAATAACATTTTAGTTGTTTTTTTTTTTATATTAATTTCAGTTGTTATTTATTTATAAGGTGTGGTATGGCCGAGTGATTAGGGCGCTCGACTCGCAATCTGTGGATTCCAATCCCCGTCCCACTAAACATATTCGGCCTTTCAGCCGTGGGGGCGCTATAATGTGACGGTCAATCCCACTATTCGTTGGTGAAGGCCCGACATGGCCAGGTGGTTAGGGCGCTCGACTCGCAATCTGCGGGTCGCGGGTTCGAATCCCCGTCACAGCAAACATGCTCACCCTTTCAGGCTTGGGGCGTAATAATGTGACGGTCAATCCCACTATTCGTTGGTAAAAGAGTAGCCCAAGAGTTGGCGGTGGGTGGTGATGACTAGCTGCCTTGCCTCTAGTTTTACACTGCTAAATTAGGGACGTCTAGCGCAGATAGCCCTCGTGTAGCTTTGCGCGAAATTAAAACAAACAAAACAAACATCGCTGGTGAAAGAGTAGCTTTGCGCGAAATTGAGAAAACAAACATTTACGACTGAACCCCTCTCCCCTAATGTTTTGTAGTTCCGACTTGCCTGTAATAGCAGTTATTACGTCATATTAACATTTGGATAAAAAGTACTGTTTAACTATATAAATATTCATGATGCTAGAAAAACACGAAGGTTCAAGAAATCTCGATAGAAATGAATAAAATGAATATGTATTGTTATAAGCCATATTTTCATTGTTATAACTTAGATGTTTGCTAGAGGGAGCTGCTAATCATGGTGATAACGCTAGATACAGAAGGATTATAAAAGTAGTCTTAGAATCAGTAAACTTACCATACTAGGTAGAAATGAAAGTTCAGTATTAATAGAAGAATGGCTAATTGAGGATAGATTGATTGAATGAAATTATTCAGGTTACTGAGAGGTAATCTTCTGTCAATTAGTTATTCAGGATTCGTATCAATGGAGGAAAATTCTCTGAAACGTTATTAGTGTATTTCAGCGTAGCTGTAGGAAATTTGTTGTTGTCAGGTGGAATAGATCTCCAAACGAACCCGCTGAACGAGAGAAAATGTTAGAAAATTGGTGAGAAAAGTAGAATCATCTTGATGAAAATAAAATAGAACTTTAATTAAACTTAAAAATGACAACACGGGCACGAGGCGAGGAAGGAAATGATGGAAATCTTAGGAATGCAGAGAAACGTACTAATTATGGAATTACTGTAAATTTTGTGTATTACAAAAAGTTTGTCTCGAGGAAGAATAAACTGGTTTAATCAAGAAAAGACTGTATCACTGAAGATACTCGGAAAGAATTTCTACTGGAAACCAACAAACAGGCAGATACGTAACAGGGATATAATAATTAAAGAAGAATTAAGAAAAATCTGATAGACGAAAACAGCGATGAAACTATTGTAGATGTAAAGAAAGATTAGAAGAATAAGATTGAAGAAGTACTTAAATATATCAACAAAATATGGAAGTACAGAAATATAACAGCAAAGTCAGTGAGATAGAAGAAAACATTAATGTCCGAAAGAAACATTTTGAACGTGAATTGGTAAATGCAAGGATCAAACTAACCACGCCTCCTTCTGTATACGCTCAAAAATACCAACATAAAATACCATTTCACTGCAAAATATGAAATAGGAGAACAGACAACACATTGCTGTAGGAAGCAATGTTTGAGTGGTCAGGTCATTGCCACAACTAAGCAATGTAACACACGATGTGTGAAAAGAACACTACCGGCATGCAGAGCATGCTATTTGTAGGGGGTATGGGGGCATGCTCCCCATAAAATTTTAGAAAATTGAATGCTATGAAACAAGTTTGGAGTCACACATCAGAATGAAGTATCCAGAGAAAAGTTACGGAATATAGTACAGAAAAAATAGGAGACCTTAGCCGAACTCGTGGAAGATTTGGGAAGACTTACCCAATTATCTTACCTAGATGGTACACGATAGTTATAGATGGTGAGAGAAACGAATGTGAGATTAGACAGCTTCAATTATATTCACAGTCTATCATCAGGAAATCTCTGTGCACTGAGTGGCAATCACTAATCCAAAGGTTGAACCTCCAGTGACATAAGAGAGGGTGGTGACTGGGATGTAATATAAACAAGTACTCTGTCATTTCCTAGGTGATTGATGGCTTAAAGAGCTTTCGCGGATATGAAGAATAAAGATGTCATATACTACTTTATCTGGGGAAGAAATAAGCTTGTGATAGAATGATGTTAATGATGATAAGACTGGATCTTTCCGAAATGATATGTTAAGTCCAAAGTTAAGTAGGTATTGGGAATGACCATCTACTGACAATCTGCTGTACTAAAAAGGATCAATGATGTGGTTTACATAATTCAGAAGTCTAAACCATATGTCGTCTACCAAAAGACTTGGTGAAAGGGCAGTTTACTGTACTGTTTCAGTTATGTATTAGGATGATTCAAGAGACTTTGCAATCCATGAAGGGGCAGCGTTGTAAGCTATATTATAAATCTTATGACTTAATTGTGTGCTAGATAGAGCTACTAAACATGATGATGATACTAGGTCTAGAAGGTTAATAAAGATAGTCCTAGATACTCACCCGTGCATGATAGACATAAGAGTTTAGTATAAAGACAAGAATGGTTCAGTTATTGGAGAGTTATTAAATACAAGAATGGTTGAGTTATTAGAGAATTATTAAAATCACCTAGAGTTAGTGCTTCTTTCAACTAATCATTAAGTTAGTAAGGTTTATTATCAATCAGGGAAATGTCCGTTAAACGTTATTAATGTGTTAAGGTTATTGCAGATTCGGAGTTTCTATTAGTACATTTTGTACTTGGTGTTACGCCTATAGGTGAGCTTAGCTTTAATAAACGTTATAAAAAAATAAATTAATTTGTTGTTGTTAATTTACTAGATTTTGCATTATTTTTACCAAATAATAAAAAAAAACCCTAACGTTAGAACAACGTTTAAATCGGACAATAATTCGGAATTCAGGCTACTAATTGTTGTTACTTAGTAGTGGTGTTGTGTCGCTCTGTAGATGTCAGGATCTGATTGATGTTACTTAGTTAGTAGTGGTGTTGTGTCCCTCTGTAGATGTCAGAATCTGATTGTTATTACTTAGTTAGTAGTGGTGTTGTGTCGTTCTGTAGATGTCAGGATCTGATTGATGTTACTTAGTTAGTAGTGGTGTTGTGTCCCTCTGTAGATGTCAGGATTTGATTGTTGTTACATGGTTAGTAGTGGTTTTGTGTCCTTCTTTAGATGTCAGAATCTGATTGTTGGTATTTAGTTAGTATTGGTCTTGTGTCCCTCTGTAGGTGTCAGGATTTGATTGTGTTCCTCTGTAGGTGTCAGGATTTGATTGTTGTTACTTAGTTAGTAGTGGTGTTGTGTCCCTCTGTAGATGTCAGAATCTGATTGTTATTACTTAGTTAGTAGTGGTGTTGTGTCGTTCTGTAGATGTCAGAATCTGATTGTTATTACTTAGTTAGTAGTGGTGTTGTGTCGTTCTGTAGATGTCAGGATCTGATTGATGTTACTTAGTTAGTAGTGGTATTGTGTCCCTCTGTAGATGTCAGAATCTGATTGTTGTTACTTAGTTAGTAGTGGTGTTGTGTCGTTCTGTAGATGTCAGAATCTGATTGTTGTTACTTAGTTAGTAGTGGTGTTTTGTACCTCTGTAGATGTCAGGATTTGATTGTTGTTACTTAGTTAGTAGTAGTGTTGTGTCGCGCTGTAGATGTTACGATCTGATTGTTGTTACTTAGTTAGTAGTGGTGTTTATTCCTCGGTAGATGTCAGGATTTGGTTCCTGTAGATGTTACGATCTGATTGTTGTTACTTAGTTAGTAGTGGTGTTTATTCCTCTGTAGATGTCAGGATTTGGTTGTTGTTACTTAGTTAGTAGTGGTGTTTCAGGATCTGATTGTTGTTGCTTGGTTAGTAGTGGTGTTGTGTCCTTCTGTAGATGTCAGGATTTGATTGTTGTTACTTGGTTAGTAGTGGTTTTGTGTTCCTCTTTAGATGTCAGAATCTGATTGTTGTTACTTAGTTAGTATTGGTCTTGTCTCATCTGTAGATGTCAGGATCTGATTGTTGTTACTTAGTTAGTAGTGGTGTTGTGTCGTATCTACATAGGGACACAACACTACTACTAACTAAGTAACAACAATCAGATTCTGACATCTACAGAACGACACAAGACCATTACTAACTACGTAACAACAATTAGATCCTGTCATCTACAGAGCCACACAAGACCACTACTAACTAACAACAATTAGATCCTGCCATATACAGAGGGACACAAAACCACTACTAATCAAGTAACAACAATCAAATCCTGACATCTACAGAGGGACACAACACCACTACTAACCAAGTAACAACAATCAGATCCTGATATCTACATAGGGACAAAACACTACTACTAACTAAGTAACAACAATCAGATCCTGCCATTTACAGAGGGACACAATACCAATACTAACTAAGTAAACACAATCAGATCCTGACATCTACAGAGG